AGCCCCTGTTTTGGCCGCTAGCGGGGAAAATCGCGCGATTTTTGGCCCCTAGCGGCTAAATTCGCACGATTTTTGGCCGCTAGCGGGGATATTCGCAAGATTTTTAGCCGCTAGCGGCAAAAATCGACCGATTTTTGCCGCTAGCGGCCAAAAATCGGGCAAATTTTGCCGTTTGGGGGCAAAATTCGCAAGATTTTGGCCGCTAGCGACGAAAATTGCCCCTTTTTTGCCCGCTAGCTGCGAAATTCGCACGATTTTTGACCGCTAGCGGCGGAAATCGCGCGATTTTTGCCGCTAGCGGCCAAAAAAGGGGCAATTTTCGCCGCTAGCGGCCAAAAATCGCGCGATTTTCGCCGCTAGCGGTCAAAAATCGTGCGAATTTCGTCGCTAGCGGCCAAAAATCGTGCGAATTTCGCCGCTAGCGTCCAAAAATCGCGCGAATTTCGTCGCAAGCGGTCAAAAATCGTGCGAATTTCGCCGCTACCGGCCAAAAACCGCGCGATTTTCGCCACTAGCGGCCGCTAGCAGCGAAAATCGCGCGGTTTTTGGCCGCTACCTGCGAAAATCGCGAGATTTTTATCCGCCAGCTGCGAAAATCGCACGGTTTTTGGCCGCTAGCGGCGAAAATCGCGCGGTTTTTAGCCAGTAGCGACGAAAATCGCGCGATTTTTCCCGCCAGCAGCGAAAATCGCACGGTTTTTGGCCGCTAGCGGCCAAAATCGACCGATTTTCGCCGCTAGCGCCCAAAAAAAAAGGGCTATTTTCGCCCCTAGAGGCCAAAAATCGGGCGAATTTCGCCGCTAGCGGCCAAAAATTGCGCGATTTTCGCAGCTGGCTGCCAAAAATCGCGCGATTTTCGTAGGTAAAGGCCAAAAATTGCGCGATTTTCGCCGCTAGCGGCCAAAATTCGTGCGAATTTTCGTGCAAAAATTCGTGCAAAATTCGTGCGAACCACCACCCTACTGCTACAACAACCACCACTACTGCTACAACAACCACCACCACTACTGCTACAACAACAACCACCACTACTGCTACATCAACCACCACCACTACTGCTACAACAACAACCACCACTACTGCTACATCAACCACCACCACTACTGCTACAACAACCACCACCACTACTGCTACTCAACCACCACCACTACTGCTACAACAACCACCACCACTACTGCTACAACCACCACCACTACTGCTACATCAACCACCACCACTACTGCTACAACAACCACCACCACTACTGCTACAACAACCACCACCACTACTGCTACAACAACCACCACCACTACTGCTACAACAACCACCACCACTACTGCTACAACAACCACCACCACTACTGCTACAACAACCACCACCACTACTGCTACATCAACCACCACCACTACTGCTACAACAACCACCACCACTACTGCTACAACAACCACCACCACTACTGCTACAACAACCACCACCACTACTGCTACAACAACCACCACCACTACTGCTACACTACAACAACCACCACCACTACTGCTACAACAACCACCACCACTACTGATACACACTACAACAACCACCACCACTACTGCTACAACAACCACCACCACTACTGCTACAACAACCACCACCACTACTGCTACAACAACCACCACCACTACTGCTACAACAACCACACCACTACTGCTACAACAACCACCACCACTACTGCTACAACAACCACCACCACTACTGCTACAACAACCACCACCACTACTGCTACAACAACCACCACCACTACTGCTACAACAACCACCACCACTACTGCTACAACAACCACCACCACTACTGCTACAACAACCACCACCACTACTGCTACAACAACCACCACCACTACTGCTACAACAACCACCACCACTACTGCTACAACAACCACCACCACTACTGCTACAACAACCACCACCACTACTGCTACAACAACCACCACCACTACTGCTACAACAACCACCACCACTACTGCTACAACAACCACCACCACTACTGCTACAACAACCACCACCACTACTGCTACAACAACCACCACCACTACTGCTACAACAACCACCACCACTACTGCTACAACAACCACCACCACTACTGCTACAACAACCACCACCACTACTGCTACAACAACCACACACTACAACAACCACCACCACCACTACTACTACAACAACACCACCACCACTACTACAACAACCACCACCACCACCACTACTACAACAACCACCACCACCACTACTACAACAACCACCACCACCACTACTACAACAACCACAACCACCACCACTACTACAACAACCACCACCACTACTGCTACAACAACCACCACCACTACTGCTACAACAACCACCACCACTACTGCTACAACAACCACCACCACTACTGCAACACACTACAACAACCACCACCACTACTGCTACAACAACCACCACCACTACTGATACACACTTCAACAACCACCACCACTACTGCTACAACAACCACCACCACTACTGCTACAACAACCACCACCACTACTGCTACAACAACCACCACCACTACTGCTACAACAACCACCACCACTACTGCTACAACAACCACCACCACTACTGCTACAACAACCACCACCACTACTGCTACAACAACCACCACCACTACTGCTACAACAACCACCACCACTACTGCTACAACAACCACCACCACTACTGCTACAACAACCACCACCACTACTGCTACAACAACCACCACCACTACTGCTACAACAACCACCACCACTACTGCTACAACAACCACCACCACTACTGCTACAACAACCACCACCACTACTGCTACAACAACCACCACCACTACTGCTACAACAACCACCACCACTACTGCTACAACAACCACCACCACTACTGCTACAACAACCACCACCACTACTGCTACAACAACCACCACCACTACTGCTACAACAACCACCACCACTACTGCTACAACAACCACCACCACTACTGCTACAACTACCACCACCACTGCTACACAACCACCACCACTACTGCTACAACAACCACCACCACTACTGCTACAACAACAACCACCACTACTACTACAACAACCACCACCACTACTGCTACAACAACCACACACTACTGCTACAACAACAACCACCACTACTACTACTACAACAACCACCACCCACTACTGCTACACAACTACAACAACCACCACCACTACTGCTACAACAACCACCACCACTACTGCTACAACAACCACCACTACTGATACACACTACAACAACCACCACCACTACTGCTACAACAACCACCACCACTACTGCTACAACAACCACCACCACTACTGCTACAACAACCACCACCACTACTGCTACAACAACCACCACCACTACTGCTACAACAACCACCACCACTACTGCTACAACAACCACCACCACTACTGCTACAACAACCACCACCACTACTGCTACAACAACCACCACCACTACTGCTACAACAACCACCACCACTACTGCTACCACCACTACTGCTACAAACCACCACTACTGCTACAACAACCACCACCACTACTGCTACAACAACCACCTACAACAACCACCACCACTACTGCTACAACAACCACCACCACTACTGCTTCAACAACCACCACCACTACTGCTACAACAACAAACCACTACTGCTACAACAACCACCACCACTACTGCTACAACAACCACCACCACTACTCCTACAACAACCACCACCACTACTGCTGCAACAACAACCACCACTACTGCTACAACAACCACCACTACTGCTTCAACAACCACCACCACTACTGCTACAACAACAACCACCACTACTGCTACAACAACCACCACCACTACTGCTACAACAACCACCACCAACTGCTAACCACCACCACTACTGCTACAACAACTACCACCACTACTGCTACAACAACCACCACCACTACTGCTACAACAACCACCACCACTACTGCTACAACAACCACCACCCCTGCTGCTACTATAGTAGCAGAAGCTACTAGGCAATTCAAATCACTGTAATAATGACACAAACTCCATCTACGACTTAATAACGACTACGATAGGTCAAGAAACTTGACCTTCCACAAACCACTTGTGTGAAGGTGTAGACTGGGGGTGTGTCGTACCTCAGAGAACGACACCGAGCTCTGTACCACGACTCTGGTATATTATATTCAGCTTCTAGATATAAGATCGTGCCTCCATCCTTACTAACTAATTAAATTCGGCATATAAACACCTGCTTAATACCTGCTGGATGGGGTTTGTATTAGTTCTTCAATTCCTGATTATCTCCTAAGTCAACCCGTTTGAATTATTGTGTACGTGAAGTAGAAAAATGCGTCTCCTCAAATTGTATTTGATTGTATTGGTTCCTACAGTAGCCCACTTCATCGGGCTGTCGTATTTTGATCGTGTGCAGCATGAGAACGCGTAGCTTCTCATGAAAGTGAAGGAGGATCTCGAGGAGCGGTTCTCCTTCCGCGATATTTTCTATCGCTTTCCTTGGGTCGGAGAGCTGCTGGAGTCGTTGAGAGAACGACAGGTATACCGCGTCTTGAAGGAAATACCTCCAGTGGGTACCTGGCCCTGGCCCCTTGCTGGCCCGATGTATAATGTCATGTAGAGTTACCAGTAAAATGTTTTCCTTAGAGGCATCGTCAGCCATTCTGAAGGCGACGAAAAGCAGTGGTTTGGCTTGATGGCTCCTGGTTTTCTTTTCTTGATTTGCTTCGCTCACTTCGCACTCATTCTTTGGATGATGAAATGGTGCAGAAAAAATACCCATACCCAAGAGGTTATGGGTATCGGCCCAAGGGCTGATTAGCCTAGGGTAAGTTGCGGGCCAGAGACGTCCGATGGTTCTCGGTAGATTGATGACAGTGGGTCATAGAACGATCAAAGGGACCTTGAATACCGTTGTTCATATGACGACCAAAGGGACGATGAATACCGTCGTTCATATGACGATCAAAGGGACCTTGAATACCGTCGTTCATATGACGACAAAGAGATGATGAATACCGTCGTTCATATGACGACCAAAGAGACGATGAATACCGTCGTTCATATGACGACCAACGGGACGATGAATACCGTCGTTCATATGACGATCAAAGGGACCTTGAATACCGTCGTTCATATGACGACCAAAGAGACGATGAATACCGTCGTTCATATGACGACCAACGGGACGATGAATACCGTCGTTCATATGACGACCAACGGGACCTTGAATACCGTCGTTCATATGACGACCAACGGGACGATGAATACCGTCGTTCATATGACGACCAACGGGACCTTGAATACCGTCGTTCATATGACGACCAACGGGACCTTGAATACCGTCGTTCATATGACGACCAACGGGACCTTGAATACCGTCGTTCATATGACGACCAACGGGACCTTGAATACCGTCGTTCATATGACGACCAACGGGACCTTGAATACCGTCGTTCATATGACGACCAACGGGACGATGAATACCGTCGTTCATATGACGAATAAAGGGACCTTGAATACCGTCGTTCATATGACGACCAAAGGGACCTTGAATACCGTCGTTCATATGACGACCAACGGGACGATGAATACCGTCGTTCATATGACGAATAAAGGGACCTTGAATACCGTCGTTCATATGACGACCAAAGGGACCTTGAATACCGTCGTTCATATGACGACCAAAGGGACCTTGAATACCGTCGTTCATATGACGACCAAAGGGACGATCAATACCGTCGTTCATATGACGACCAAAGGGACGATCAATACCATCGTTCATATGACGACCAAAGGGATATTGAATACCAACCACAAAACGACCAAGGGACATCCGACGACCTAAAGAATAACCTCAACCCGGTTACTGATGATGACTCACAGGTTGATAACTCTGAGACCACCGATCCCCCAAAGATCCCAGACAAACCGCCATCCCCAACCATAATTTGGGATCCCTGGGACGATGAATACCATCTCGAGGATCAAGAGCCTCCCGTAACACAACGGGACCTAAACCAGAAGTACAAAGCCACGTAAAGATACTATCACGGACTCGACCGGTCAAAACGGACAAAAGTGACGGAGCTCCGTTCTACCCGGCAGCCACACCATCGGCGCCAACACGGCGAAGATGACGACCCGGAAGATGAATATGATGAATACGTCCCCGATGAAAATGATAACACGGAAAACGTCGTGGAGGTTCCCGGATGGCTCTCTACAGCCTTCGAGAAGGCTTAGGCTATGGATGGACTGAAACACAAGGGTAAGAAGAGAACTTCGAAGGCCTGAAGAGAGAGCGGGTCGGAAACTATAGAGGCTATCTTCACGTGATGGTTTTAGGGGGATAGTTTTAGTACAGTGGTGGGTGTTTTTTCCCTACCGCTGCTAGGACAGTGGTGGTGTTTTTTCCCTACCGCTGCTAGGACAGTGGTGGTGTTTTTTCCCTATCACTGCTAGGACAGTGGTGGTGTTTTTTCCCTACCGCTGCTAGGACAGTGGTGGTGTTTTTTTTCTCTTACCACTGCTAGGACAGTGGTGGTGTTTTTTCCCCTACCCCTGCTAGGACAGTGGTGGTGTTTTTTCCCTACCGCTGCTAGGACAGTGGTGGTGTTTTTTTCCCTATCACTGCTAGGACAGTGGTGGTGTTTTTTTTCTCTTACCGCTGCTAGGACAGTGGTGGTGTTTTTTTTCTCTTACCGCTGCTAGGACAGTGGTGGTGTTTTTTTCCCATACCGCTGCTAGGACAGTGGTGGTGTTTTTTTTCCCTACCGCTGCTAGGACAGTGGTGGTGTTTTTTTCCCATACCGCTGCTAGGACAGTGGTGGTGTTTTTTCCCTACCACTGCTAGGACAGTGGTGGTGTTTTTTTTTCCCTACCGCTGCTAGGACAGTGGTGTTTTTTTTCCTTACTGCTGCTAGGGCAGTGGTGGTGTTTTTACCCTACCACTGCTAGGACAGTGGTGGTGTTTTTTTCCCTACCGCTGCTAGGACAGTGGTGGTGTTTTTTCCCTACCACTGCTAGGACAGTGGTGGTGTTTTTTCCCATACCGCTGCTAGGGCAGTGGTGGTGTTTTTACCCTACCACTGCTAGGACAGTGGTGGTGTTTTTTTCCCTACCGCTGCTAGGGCAGTGGTGGTGTTTTTTTCCCTACCGCTGCTAGGGGGCAGTGGTGGTGTTTTTTCCCTTACCGCTGCTAGGGGGCAGTGGTGGTCTTTTTTCCCCTACCGCTGCTAGGGGGTCAGTGGTGGTCTTTTTCCCCTACCGCTGCTAGGGGGCAGTGGGGGTGTTTTTTCCCCTACCGCTGCTAGGGTGTCAGTGGTGGTGTTTTTTCCCCTACCGCTGCTAGGGGGCAGTGGCGATGTTTTTTCCCCTACCGCTGCTAGGGGGGCGGTGGTGGTGTTTTTTCCCCTACCGCTGCTAGGGGGCAGTGGTGGTGTTTCCCCTATTGTCCTAGCAGTGAAGGAGAAACACCACTGTCCTAGCAGTGATGGAGAAACACCACTGTCCTAGCAGTGATGGAGAAACACCACTGTCCTAGCAGTGACTGGGAAACGTCACTGATAGTGTGTGTGTGTGTGTGTACTCACCTATTTGTGCTTGCAGAGGTGTTGCTCTGGCTCTTTGGTCCCGCCTTTCAACTGTCAATCAACTGGTGTTGTCACGGGGGACGGGCTGGGGCTCCGCCAGCAAGGGGCTGCTAGGGGCTCAGAAGGCAAAGTACTCAGCCCCCTCCGACTCTCGGGACTCACCAGAGTCACTTGGTCCCACAGAAGAGGACCAACAATGCCCACCACCGCATGTCTTTGCTCCCACCACTGTGGGGTGCCACTGATTCCCCCTGGGAGCCCTTCAGTCAACCACGGGGAAACTGCTGTATGCAATTCTGGCCTAGACCCGTGAAGGAAAACCCAGGCTTACCTTTTTTTTGAGATATATACAAGAGTTGTTACATTCTTGTAGAGCCACTAGTACGCGTAGCGTTTCGGGCAGGTCCCTGGAATACGATCCCCGCCGCGAAGAATCGTTGTTACAACCACGTACACATTTTACTGTTGAGTTAAACAGAGGCTACAGTTAAGGATTTGCGCCCAGTAAATCCTCCCCGGCCAGGATACGAACCCATGACATAACAATAACAATAGTTATTTTAACAATAACTTCCCCTGAGTCTTGCCTGCTGGACAAAAATATGTTGCAGGAATTCCTTTCCCGCCTGCCTTCTCTATCTTTTAACTAGGTCGCCAGTTGAGTCGAAATATCTGCACCCCAGCAGTGCAGTTCAGTGGGTGTACTCTATACTGCTTGATGACAAAGTGTTGCTACTCCTACAGATTTGACACTGGTCTGCCAGCCCAAGGTACACTTCCATAAAAGTCTGTGTGGCTTTACCTCTCCCCAGCCACTACATTGTTTGTTGCCACCATTGCGGCTTTGATACTGGTCGGATGGCCTAGGGTGCGCTTTTATATAAGTCTGTGCTGCTTCACCACTCTCCAGCCAATAGGAACTTCTGTAGAAAACGTGGTGTTCATTAGGTGGGACTATGATATCTCTCGTTTATGCTGATAGAGATTATTATTGACTCACACTTAAACACCATGATAAAATATGTGAATATACTGACGTAAGCTACATAATCACATATACAATTAAAATCAATACAGGAATGGAAAATAAGAATAAACAATCTGGAGATCGTCAGCAACTCTTCTTTCACGACCTCCAACAACTCCTTCAACTGGGTAGATCTAAAAGGCGCCCCACACACTCCCTCACAGAGGAGCCGCTTCGTCGACGTCGGCTACCTCCTCTTCAACTGCCCCGTCGTCCACACACACTGTCCTCTCCAACAGTCCTGGACACAAGCTGCCCTGCAGCCTATCCTACTACTAATATATTAATGTTATACAATAACATGTATATATATATATCGTGGCCTATCTAACCTAATCAAACAAGGGGTAATGAGAGGAAAGTTGATCTACCTTTACATTCCTGGCTCACGACGCCTGTCCCTCGATGGTGTGAGGTTCCCACGCTTCCTGAGTCGGTCCTTGACGATCCAGGAACGTTCCACAAGTCCTCAGGTGCCGTTGGAATTGAGCTGTGTTGTTTACCATACCATTCATCTCGTAAGTATAAGTATAAATGCCACACCTGTGACAGGTAAAAACAGTTTTTTTTTAGAAACAGCGCCATCTGTTACATGTAAGAGCAACACACACTATACTAAATATGTTACGATACCATTTCAATGTTCCCGATTGGAATTGTTAAATTGAATTTTTATAGATTTCGATTTATTTTCATTTTGATTTAATTATTTTGAGTGACATTGCGTTGGAATTGAGCTGTGTTGTTTACCATACCGTTCATTTCATAAGTATAGTTGATTTTTTTATTTTTTTATTTCGCTTTTTTAACAGTTTGTCTTATGTTTCAGTGCAAGGAACATCAGTTCATTTGATGTTCACAATTTTCTAAAGGGGAACATCAGATCATTTGGGAATGCATCGGACGAGGGAGTGGGGAATGGTGGGGAGGACGAGGGGACGAGGGAGTAGGGAATGGTGGGGAGGACGAGGGGACAGGTGAGTGGGAGAGGGTAGGGAGGACGAGGGGACGGTGGAGTCAGACTATATAGATAGTCAAATACTTTATTTTCCTAACGGGGAAATGGTTAAGAGGACCAGGGGACGAGGATATATATATATATATATTACGGAGCAAGCAACCCTTCCTGTAAGACTCGGCGGCCTTGGTGTCCGCACAGCCTCCTAAATTGCTCTACCAGCCTTCCTTTCCTCCTCCCACGCATCGCACGACCTCGTCAGAGATATCTTACCTGCAACCCTGAGAGATTCAGCAGGAATACACGATCCTGCTTTCGCTGAATGTTCAAATCAGTGGGATGTTCTTGCAGCCCCAGCAACCATTATAGAACCAACAAAACAACACAAACAGTCCGGCTGGGACCACCCTCTAGTGGAAAAAGTAGCTGATGCCATGTTCAGTGTCGCAACATCAGACAAGGAGAAAACCCGCCTCAGAGCAGTGGGTGCCCTCCATGCAGGGTACTTCCTCCTAGATCCAGAATCCCTTCGTGTAGCAGTGGCCCTCCGCCTTGGTGCCCCCTGTTCGAATCCCAAATCTCTGTTTGGGATTCGAACAGAGGTCAGCGTAGCACTGTTCGAGAAATGTTCGGATGTCATCAGCCATGAATCGTGAGTGTAAACAGTTTTTCGTTCGTTTTAAACTAAACATGAAATGAAGATATAAATCGATATTATATTTTCGGAAAAATATATGTTTATTAAACGTACACAGGATGTTCAAAATGGCGACTACAGCTTAGATAACACAGCTTAGATAACACAGCTTAGCCGAGCCGCAGCTTAGATGACACAGCTTAGCCGAGCCGCAGCTTAGATAACACAGCTTAGCTGAGCCGCAGCTTAGATAACACAGCTTAGCTGAGCCGCAGCTTAGATAACACAGCTTAGCTGAGCCGCAGCTTAGATAACACAGCTTAGCCGAGCCGCAGCTAAGAAAACACAACTTAGCCAAGCCGCAGCTTAGATAACACAGCTTAGCCGAGCCGCAGCTTAGATAACACAGCTTAGCCGAGCCGCAGCTTAGATAACACAGCTTAGATAACACAACTTAGCCAAGCCGCAGCTTAGATAACACAGCTTAGCCGAGCCGCAGCTTAGATGACACAGCTTAGCCGAGCCGCAGCTTAGATAACACAACTTAGCCAAGCCGCAGCTTAGATAACACAGCTTAGCCGAGCTGCAGCTTAGATGACACAGCTTAGCCGAGCCGCAG